AGCGTAGTCGCAGAGAGTGCTGGCTGTGTGTACTGTGTTGGTAGTGTGCAGCGTAGTCGTAGTGTGAGTGCTGGCTGTGTGTACTGTGTTCGTAGTGTGCAGCGTAGCCGTAGTGTGAGTGCTGGCTGTTTGCACTGTAGTCGCAGGGTGAGGGCTCAGTGCCGAGGAAACGCCGCCAGAGAAGGAAGGCAGGCTGAGGAGGCAGCCTGTCCTTGGACTGGGCGCTCTCCTTTGGGGCCAGTTGCAGCCCATCTGTCTGGGTCCCTCCTTGGCCTGAGACCATGGGTGGCATAGCTAAGAGCTGGCAGAGCATGGGGGTGCTGCCGGGGCCATGTTATCCATTAGCTCTCTCAGTCCGGTCATGCTGCCGCACAGGTGGGTTTGGACATGGCTGGGCTGGGAGGGACCGTCAGGGTGGTTCCTGGGCTGGGAACTCCCAGTGTGGCAGGTGCTTGTGTGACTCCTGGGCATGCAGTGGTGTCATGTCCACAGGAGTATGAAGCCGCTGTGGAGCAGCTGAAGAACGAGCAGATCCGTGTGCAAGCTGAGGAGAGGAGGAAGACACTGAGCGAGGAGACGCGGCAGCACCAGGCCGTAAGGGCACACAGGGATGGTGGCGGTCTGGTCTCCGCTCACAGAGGGGTCGGGTCTACAGGGGTATCTGCCACTCGCCTTAGTGGCCTGCAGACAGTGGCTGTCTAAAGCCCGGGACCCTCAGAGCATTCCAAGTGGGATGGGGTCCTCCTTGCACCTCCTCGTTGAGGTCTCTGTTGCTTGTACGGGAGCTGACACCATAGGGGAGAGGCAGGCAGCCTGAAGCCTCAGCCCCCAGTGGAATGGAGGCCAGCTGTGCTCACACCGTTCTCTCTGCCCAGAGGGCCCAGTACCAGGACAAGTTGGCCCGGCAGCGCTACGAGGACCAGCTGAGGCAGCAGGTGAACAGCACACCTCCCACAGACTTGGGGCCCTGTCATCCCTACCCCCTTTTGTCATCATCCCCCCACCCACCTCCATCATCCCCAGCCCCTTCCTTTGTCCCCCATCCCGCACCCACCTCTGTCCATGAACCTGTCAGTGGCTCCCATCCTCCCTAAGAGCGTGGGTCTTCCTGGTGTACTGAGTGTGGGAATGCTTGGGTCATGCTCCTAACAGCAAGTGCTGGGATCTGAAGGTGTTTTACTTGGGCTCATACTCGGGTACGTGCAGGGTTGAGCACACATGCACGCACACACGGACACGTAGGCACACATGCAGTCAAGCAGGGACATGCACGTACGTGCAGAGATACGACGCACACACATACATGCACATGTGGGGAGCCGCACACACATACACTCACACATGAGCACTTATTCATGGGCATACACATGCACAGACACAAGGGTGGGGACACACTCTGCACCAGGCTCCTGTCCTCCTGTGAGGTTGGTCTCCATGGCCTAGGCGGCTCCCTGGAGTTTGTGCTGGTTGCCACTCACTGGGAATTCTGGTGGTGACACCATGTGAGGAGGTTCCAGGGCCGGTTGTGACTGGCCAGCAGCTGGGTCTAGGAACAGCACAGAACCTCACTGTTGCCTTCACTCCATAGGCTCTTGAGCCCGCCTTTGAGTCTGGTTGACAGGGTGGTTTTCCAAATGTGTCTGCCTGTCCTGGGCGTTGTAGCTTTTACTTTAACAGGCAAAAAGCAGCATTTGGTAAAAACAGCTGCTATCTGGTGACCACGCTGGGAATGTGGAGAGGAGAGCAGGGTACGTGGGTCACCCAGGGTACACAGGGCACACAGGATGCACAGGGTACTTGGTATCAGGGGTACGTGGGCCCAGAGCAGCTGTGACCTCTTGATGTGGCTTTAAGCATTCCAGTTTTTCTGAGTCTGACAGGTTTTCCCTTGCCTTGTGGCTTCTTCTCAGCAACTTCTCAATGAGGAGAACTTGCGGAAGCAGGAGGAGTCTGTGCAGAAGCAGGAGGCGATCCGACGAGGTAGCGTGTCCCCTCTCTCTTGGGGGCTGGGAGGTGAGCTGTAGCGTGGCACCCATGGCAGTAGGCGTGCATCCCCGGACCTGGTAAAGGAGAGCGGCGGTGAGGAGAGGTCCACGGACCTGCGAACAGGGGCTTTGGGTGTGCAGGTGTTTCTCTGGGCACCTGTGATTCCTGGAAATGCTTCCCCAGCATGCCCTGAGATCCGACGTTGACGAGTGCTCTGCACGGACAGTGGTCTGTGCAGGAGCTCATTGCCTTTGCTCACTGGAACGGAGGCTCCTGCCCTGTGTTGGAAGTGCACATTTACCCCAGTTACGCACTTACCATGGCGCCAGCAGTGTCAGCCACAGTGTTGGCAGTGTGCGGGGCCATCCCTGCAGCAGCCTCGTGTTCATACCATGTTCTCACCCATTCTAGGCCACGTTCTCACGTGTGCTGCACAAGTCTCGAATAACCATCCACTCGGTGCCCTGCAGTGATATGGTAGTGGGGCGCTCTGCAGCGATGTGGTAGTGGGTTTGCCCTAGACGCAGAGGCACAGACGTTACTATGCCTCATGTTATTTTAGTGTTTCAGTAGCTGCATGTAGCGTAATTGGGTTTTTTTTTGTAGTTTTCTTTGCTTCATCTTGTGTCTTTTATAGCGTCGCCTGGGCTGGGGGTACCTGGCTCCTCCAAGGCTGCAGGGGTCTGAGTTCAGAGCCCCAGGTTTCTGGCCCCTGGGTGTGGTCTGTGTGCAGGCTCCTCCCTCTCCCTGGCTGTCCTTGGTGTCTGGTTTTGCGGTGGGTGGCAGTCGCAGTGGAGTTAGGGTCTGGTTTAGCGTGGATGTGGCTGAGCCACCCATTCTGCAGCCACGGTGGAGCGGGAGATGGAGCTGCGGCACAAGAATGAGATGCTACGGGTGGAGGCTGAGGCGCGTGCCCGGGCCAAGGCTGATCGGGAGAACGCAGACATCATCCGTGAGCAAATCCGCCTGAAGGCCGCGGAGCACCGCCAGACCATCCTGGAGTCCATCAGGTGAGGAGCCCTTGCAGGTCGAGAGGCATCACTTCCCACAGGTGGCCCTCAGTGGGCAGGTACTCCCTACAGACCTGCGGGCCCATCCTTTCCGAGTCCAGGATGTGCCCCGTGTGTTGGGGTCCTGCACTTCCCCCCACCTTTCTCCTGGTAATGTCTCCGCCTTCCCTCCACAGGACAGCGGGCACACTGTTTGGCGAGGGATTTCGTGCCTTTGTGACTGACTGGGACAAAGTGACAGCCACGGTGAGCACAGGTTGGGTGTCCTGGGGCAGGCACCCAGTGGCTTGGGGGCCTTGGCTGTCTGCCTGGGCTCTGGGCTTGGCATCTGCAGGTGAGAAGGGCTACAACTGTGGCTCTAAGTGGCCTGTAAGCAGTATGCTGTGACATCCTTCCTGCCATCCCTTCCTGCTGCCCTGCTTCCATTCTCTTTTCCTACACACACTGGAAGGAAAACCAGCTGACTGACAGAGCCCTCTGGAGTTTGGGGCATTTTTTAATGATTCACAGTTGAACCTAGCAGGGCAGGCTAGGTATTCTGGTCTAATAATAGGTTTCTGGACCCCCAGGCTGGAAGGAAGACTCTGGGCAGGGGTGCTAGAGTTTCCGTTCTCTTTTCCTTAGAAGTTTCTGCCCTTTGGGGATGTGTAACCGGGTAACCGGGGATTTTCTTATCAGCAACTTCGACACTGTGGACACCGCTGATCTTCCAGGAAGTCAGGAGAGCTTGCCCTGAGCGCTTCTTGTGGCTGCCCTGGTCCACAGGGCCTGCGGACTCTTAACCTTGTGGCTCCTTCTAACGGGGTTTCTGTGAGGGTACCCTACCCCCAGCGGAGGCCACACACCAAGGCAGGAAAGCTAAAGACACCGGTCTAAATGCCTGCCAAGCCATCTGGGCTGTGTGCTGAAGGTGCTGCTCACCTTGGGCCCAGGCCTCGCCTGCCCTGGGTTTGTGCTCCCAGGTAACAAGCTCATGGTCCCCAGCGCTGCTTAGGGTACAGCAGGAGGCCTGTACTGGGCTGAGCATTCACCTGTTGGCATTTAAGGTGTTGGCTTAGAAGCTCACTAGTTTGGCAGATATGTCCTCATAGGAGCAGAAGTCTGCTCTGTACCAGGTGCTGTTATATTAAGACAGGAGACAGCTGGGCATGGCAGGGCAGAAAGAGTGTCCTGAGGGCCCATGCTTCTGGTGATGAAGCACAGAGCCCCTCATGCCTCTACCATGTCTGCTCTGGGTGGTGGTTACAGCCTCATTCCATGGACAGTGAGAGTATACAACCACTCCTTACTTACCGACTATCTCATCTGACATTTTACATCGACAGTAGTAAAAAAAATGACTTCTGCACATTAATGATATACAGGGTTAGAGTACTACTGGCTGTAATGGTTAGGGTTGTGCGTCGACTTGACTGGGCCATGAGTCTCAGTGGTTTAGTAGTTACGTAATGATGTAATTTGGAAGTTATGTCATGATGTGGTCATCCTCCATTTTCGGATAACACCAATTTTTGCATAAGGACCTGGTCTTTGGAACCTAACCATGTCAATAAGTGAAGAGTGGGTGTTTCATTTTAAGAAGTGCTGCCATCTTAACAATATTAAATCTTCCAATCTATGAACATAGGAAGTCTTAGATCGTTTTTAGTTTTTTTCAGTAATATGTTGTAGTTTTCAGTGCACAAGTCTTTCACCTTCTTGGCTAAATTTATTCCTGAGTATTTTATTCTTTTTGATGCAATTGTGAATGGAATTGTTTTCTTTGCCTTTTGGTTTGCTCACTGCTGGTGTATACAAATACAACTGATCTTTGTGTGTTAACTTTGTATCCTGCAACTTTGTTGAATTTGTTCTTAGCTTTAACAGTTTTTTTGGGGATTCTTTAGGGTGTTTTATATATAAGATCATGTTATCTTGAGAACAGAGATAATTTTACTTTTTCTTTTTCAGTTTGGACATCCTATATTTCTTGTCTAATTGCTCTGAATAGAACTTCCAGTACTTTATTGAATAGAAATGGTGAAATGAGTATCCTTGTGTTAGTCCTCATCTTAGGGAAAAAGCTTGTAGTCATTGAGTATGATGTTAGCTGTGGGTTTTTCATATATGGCTTTTAATCATGTTGAGGAAGTTTCCTTTTATTCCTACTTTATTGATTGTTTTTGTCATGAAAGGACGTTGGATTTTGTCAAAGGTCTTTTCTGCCTCGATTGAGATGATCATACGAGTTTTTTTTTTCCTTCATTCTATTAATGTGGTTTTATTACATTGAGTGATTTTCATGTGTTGAACCACTTTTGCATTCCTGGGGTAAATCCCACTTGATCATGGTGGATAATACTCCTCCCTTTTTTTTTTTTTTTTTGTGGTGAAAATAATACACACCAAAATATTTGCCAGTACAGCATCTTAGATACTTTTAATATGCTGTTGAATTGGCTTGCTAGTATTTTATTGAGGGTTATTGTATCTCTATTCATAAAGGATATTAGCCTATAGTTTTTTTGTCATGTCTTTGTCTGACTTTGGTATCAAGGTAATGCTGTCCTCGTAGAATGAGTTAGGAAGTCTTCCTTCCTTTAATATTTTTTTGGAAGAGTTTGAGAATGGTTGGTGTTAATTCCTCTTTAAGTGTTCGATGGAATCCCCCAATGAAGCCATTTGGTCCCGGGCTATTTTTTGAGGATTTTGGTAACTGATTCAATCTCCTTACTTGTAATAGACACATTCAGGCTTTCTATTTCTTTATGAGTCAGTTTGGATAGTTTGTGTGTTTCTAGGAATTGTCCATTTCATGTAAGTTGTCCCGTTAGTATAAAGTTCATAGTATTCTCTCATAATCATTTTTATTTCTGTAAAGTCAGTAATAATGGTCCCCACTTGCATTTCTGTTTTTAGTAATTTAAATCTTTTCTCTCTTTTTAAGTCACTCTAGCTAAAGATTTGTCAACTTCGTTGATCTTTCCAAAGAACCAATTTTAGTTTTGTTGATTTTCTCTATTTTTTTTTATTCTCTGTTTCTTTTCACTCAGATTTTTATCACTTCCTTTCTTCTGCTAGCTATGGGTTTAGTTATCTTCTTTTTTCTACTACCTTAAACTATAATGTTTGGTGATTTGACATCTTTCGTTTTTAATGTAGGCATTTCCAACTGTAAATTTTCCGCTTAGTACTGTTTTTGCTGCATCACATAAGTTTTGGTGTGTTGTGTTTTTGTTTGCAGTTATCACAAGATATTTTCTGATTTCCCTTTTGAGTTGTTATTTGACCCATTGGTTGTTTAATATCCACATATTTGTGAATTTTCTGGTGTCCTTCCATTATTAATTTCTAGTTTTGTTCCACTGTGATTGGAAAATATACTTTGTATGATTTCAGTCTTTTTAAGGTTATTATGACTTATTTGTGACCTAACATGTTATCCATCTTGAGAATGTTCCATGTGTACTTCAGGAGAATGTATATTCTGTTGTAGTTGGGTGGAGTGTTCTGTGTATGTCTGTTAAGTCTAATTGGTTTATAGTGTTGTTCATGTCCTTCATTTCCTTATTGATCTTCTGCTTGATTGTTCTGTTCGTGATTGAAAGTGAGGTACTGAAGTCTTCGGCTATTATTGTGAAACTGTTTGTCCCTTCATTCTGTCAATTTTCACTTCATGTATTTTGAGGCTCTATTAAGTACATATATTATTATAATTGTTAATTTTGGTGGATGAAACCTGTTAACAATAATGTCCTTCCTTGTGTCCTGTATTTTTTTTTTTTTTCATTTAAAATCTACTTTGATAATATGGAGCCCTGGTGGCACAGTGGTTAAGAGTTTGGCTGCTAACCAAGAGGTCACTTGTTCGAATCTACCAGCCACTCCTTGGAAACCCTATGGGGCAGTTCTACTCTGTCCTACAGGATTGCTATGAGTCAAAATCAACTCAATGGCAACTGGTTTGGTTTGGTTGATGATGTAGCCACTCCAGCTGTCTTTTGGTTTGTATTTGCATGGGAATATTTTTCCATCCTTTCACTTTTGATCTCTTGTGTCTTTGTATCAAAAATGAGTCTTGTAGACAGCATAGAAATGGAACATGTTTTTTAGTCCATTTTGCCAGTCTCTATCTTTTAATTGGAGAGTTTAATCCATTTACACATGAAGTAATTACTGGTAAGGAAGGATTTAATTTGCCATTTAGCTATTTGTTTTCTGTATGTTTTACGTGTTTGTGGTTCCTCAGTTCCTCTATTTCTGCCTTTTTTGGTATTTAAAGGAATTTTTGTAGCATACTGTTTTGGTTCCCTTTTTTCCTATTTTGTATGTTTTTTCATTATTTTCTTAGTAGTTACGTTGGGAATTACAATTAATATCTTAAACTTGTAGCAGCCAGCTTTGAATAAAAATATGAATTTGGTTACAGTGGTGTACATATACTCTGTTCTTATACATCTGTCTTCCGCCTTTATATTGTTATTGTCATAAATTACATTTTTTATAACTTTTGTGCCCACTAACAAATTTATGATTTTTGTTTTATGTATTTGCTTTTTAAATCATGTAGGAAAAAAAGAGGAGTTACAAGCCAAAAGTACATGAATACTGACTTTTATATTTACTTATGTAAATACTTATATCAGTATTCTTTATTTCTTTTTATGGTGTTGAGTTACTGTCTGGTGCCTTTTCATTTCGGCTTGGAGGACACCCTTTAGCCTTTTTTGTAGGGCATGCCTACTGGTAATGAATTCCCTTAGCTTTTGTTTTATCTAGGAATGTCTTCATTTCTCCTTTATTCTTGGAAGATAATTTTGCTGGATATAGAATTTTGGGTTGATAGTTTGTTTTTCTTTCAGCACTTCAAATATGTCATCTCATTGCCTTCTGGCCTTCCTGGTTTCTGATGAGAAGTCAGCTGTTAATCTTAGAGAGATTCCATTGTATGTGATGATTTGCTTCTCTCTTGCTGCCTTCAGAATTCTTTTTGGGCTATTTTTGTTCTTCAGCAATTTGGCTATAATGTATCTCAGTGTGGATCTCTCTGAGTTTTTCCTGTTGGAGTTCGTTGAGCTTCACGGATGTGTATATTTCTTTCATCAGATTTGGGAAGTTTTTGGCCATTATTTCATCAAATAATTTTTCTGCCCCATTCTATCTTCCTTTTCCTTCTGAGACTCCTCTGATAGGTATGTTGGTATGCTTGATAGTGTCCCACAGGTCTCTCAGGCTCTGTTTATTTTTCTTCTTTCTTTCTGCTACTCAGATTTGATAGTTTCAACTGCCCTATCTTCAGGTTCACTGATTCTTTGTTCAGCCTGCTCTAATTTGCTGTTGAATCCTTCCAGTGAATTTTTCTTATCAGTTATTGTACTTTTCAGCTCCAGAATTTCTGTGTGGTTCCTGTATGTAATTTCTGTCACTTTACTGATATTCTCATTTTGTTCGTGCATCGTTTTCAATTAGTTCTTTGTCTATAATTTCCTTTAGCTCATTGACCATATTTAAGACACTTAATTTAATGTCTTCGACTATTAATTCCAATATCTGGGCTTCCTCAGGAATAGATTCTGTCAGATCTTTTTTTCCTGTGCATCAGCCATACTTTCCTGTTTCTTTGTATGTTTTATAGTCTTTTGTTGAGAACTGTACATTCTAGGTATATAGTGTGGTAGCTCTGGAAATCTAATTCTTCCATTTCTCAGGATTGCTACTGTTACTTGATGAAGGTTGTAGTCATCTGTTTGGTTAGTGTTTTTCAGAACTATATTTGCAGAGTATATATTTCAGTTGTGTGTAGTCACTGAAGTTTCTGTTCCGTTATCTCTATAGTTAGCCAGTGGCCTGACAGATTTCATAAAGAAAAAGTAAAGGGGTACTAGCTGTTTAACCTGTTGCTGTGAGAGGGCTGAAACTGTAACAGCTGTCTTCAATGACTCCTCAGAACACTACCACACCAACTCCATATCCTTGGAGGACAAGATCTCCACTGCCCATCCCAGGGGCCGGGGCTCTGTGACCTGCCATCCTCTTGCTCCACTTGTTGACACGCAGGTGTACTTGGGGCTTGGAAGCCTGAGCTGCAGTGGTTTGTGTGGCAGGTGGAGGTGGTCTTGGCTCTCCCACAGTGCAATCCATAGCCGCACCCAGCTGCTGACCAGTGCCCAGGAGGGGCTGCGTCTGACCACAATCCTTCTGGGCCCATGCCTATCCCACCCTCACATGTGGTTGTGTCGCTGGGTACCAGGTGTCCAGGCTGCCATCCTGAAGTGGAGGAGTTGTGTCTTTTCTGGAGTCCTGCTGGCAGGGCTTAAACAGGGCATAGCACAGACCTGGTCCTGTGGGGGCTATTGTGGTAGATACAGGGTCCCTCAAGTTCACCACGCACGAGAGCCACTGTCCCAGGTACTTCTCAGCTCTGGTGACATCCGAAGTTTACAGTATGGGGAGCCGGTATCTCCTTTCCTTTCTTGACGGATCTGGGGGAGGGGAAGGACTGCTGGACCCTACGGCCTTGTATACCAGGCCATCTATAGACCTACAGGGGCATCACTGTCCCCATGTGACGGGCCTAGGGGCCGGAGGGCAGGCCGTGTCATTGGAGGGGTCAGCATTAGGAAAAGGTGGTGGTCACATCCCTCCCAGTCCCTATGACCACCTAGCTCTACGGACAAGGCTCCTGGCTTTGGCCCCGTTGACTGTGGTCTGTGTGGGTAGGAGGTTCCAGTGTGGCTGGAACCTGATTAGTGGAGCTGTGCTGGGTCTGACAGCCTTGTGAGACTCCAGAAGGGGAGCCATTGCTGTTCAGGGTAGCCAGCCTGAGGCCAAGAGCCCTGCGTGCTCTCGAGGGTGCGCATATTCCTGAGTTTTGAGGGGCCTAGTAGGTGGGGGCTCTCTTGTTCTGTGTGGGCTTCTGCCCCCTGTCTAACTGCCAGGGCTGTCACTCGGCTAAGAGACATGGTGAGAAGCAGGTTTCATGTGGGCTCTGGAGTGCCCATGAGGCCTCAGCCTACACCTGGGCAGCCTGCACTGAGGCAGGAGTTGTGGCCCTGGCTCACACGTTTTCTGTCTGCCCTGATCCAGGTGGCTGGGTTGACATTGTTGGCTATTGGGGTCTACTCTGCCAAGAACGCCACGGCTGTGGCTGGCCGATACATCGAGGCCCGGCTGGGGAAGCCGTCCCTGGTAAGGGAGACATCCCGCATCACTGTGCTGGAGGCGCTGAAGCACCCCGTGCAGGTGAGTCCCTCACTAGGTGAGCCCCCCTCCAGGTGAGCTTTCTGTCCCGGTGAACCCACTCCAGGTGATCCCCCTGCCATATGAGCTCCCCATCCAGGTGAGCCCCTACCAGCACCCTTTGTCAGCACCAGGCAAGGTTCCTGCCTGCGTGCCCCCATGGGCTGCAGTTTGGGGCATCTCCCTGAGTCCTCTTCACAGGCGGGGCCTGCTCTCTGCAGAGGTGCTTGTCCACAGCATTGACACTGACCTACAGGGTGCTTGCCGGCTGAAGTCCCCATGGTTACTCCCCTACCGCCACGTCCTGCTGTGGCTACCAACAGAAGTTGTTGGTGTTCTTCTCGTCCTTCTCTTATAAGCAAATACAAATACAAAGTCTTCTTCCTCCACTTTTACCCAAATACTGCTGAGATTGTCCATGCATTCACGATCAACTGTGGGAGTCTGTCCACATTGGCCCTGGGGAGAGCCTTCGTCCTCTCCTGTCCCCTCTAGGGGGTGTTCATGTGCCTGTCCCCTCTGGGTGGACACTGAGCTGTTTGTAGCCCCCGTGGCACTCTCTCCAGGAGAGCCTGAGCTCCCTGCCCAAATGAAAGGCCGCAGCCAGATCTGTTATTAACAGCTCACTCACTACAAATGACTTAGAAAATAAAAACCAAATGAAGAACACACGTATCACCCCAAACCCTGGTAGTCACTCCTGCCACATTCTAGAACAGGTGCTTTCAGGCAAGCATGTCTCCTTCCTTTGCTGGTGGAGTGTTTGCAACTCTGCAGTGTGTGTTGGCGTGTCCAGTGCCCCACTCCAAAGTGTTCTCGTAGCCGCACCATGGCCCGTGGTGGGTCCTGCCGTTATTGAGGCCCTGGGTAGACTTTTAGTGTCTCCTCACACTGATGGTGGGTAGTTTTGCTGACGACTGTAACTGTGTCCCTGCAGGTCAGCAGGCGGCTTCTCAGCAAGCCCCAGGACGCATTGGAAGGCGTTGTCCTCAGCGTAAGTGGAGCTCACCTTGCCGTAAGCTCAGTGCCCCCTTTGTCATGGCTCAGGGAGCAGCACCCCCAGAGCTGAGTCTCAGCTCACCCCATGTTCACCCCACACACCCATGTGGACATCTGGGGCAGTTCTATAGGGTGGGACTCCTTTGGGCTCCTGGAACTAGAATTCACTACCTAAGCTTCTGCCTGACTCAACCCCACAGCACAGAATGCATGCCCCCCTCGCTGCCTGTGGGGAACTTGGCCTGGCCGATGCCGTGTCCCCCAAACTACCCTTTCTGCCTCCACAGCCCAAGCTGGAGGAGCGGGTGAGAGACATCGCGATAGCGACAAGGAACACGAAGAAGAATGGGAGTCTTTACCGGAACATTCTGATGTATGGGCCCCCAGGTACCGGGAAGACATTGTTTGCCAAGGTGAGGTGCACACTGAGACAGGGCTTGTCCTCTGCTGGTGGGCGCTGGCCACGCAGCCTGGGGTGGGGCTGCCGTGGGCTGCCCCCCAGCCCTGCCTGCTGTGTCCTCAAGTCCCACCTGGGCCAGGGGTGGTGGCATCATTGCTCTTTTGGGTACAGAGAGGGCAGGAGAATATGTCAGTGCTGGGCTCCAAGGTAGGCAAGGGCAGGAGGGCCTGTGAGGAGGCAGTGGAACAGACGCCGCCTCACCCTCCCCTCCCCCCTCATGCAGAAACTGGCCCTGCACTCAGGCATGGACTACGCCATCATGACGGGCGGCGATGTGGCACCCCTGGGCCGGGAGGGCGTGACTGCCATGCATAAGGTCTTCGACTGGGCCAACACCAGCCGGCGAGGGTGAGCTGCCGCCCATGACCCCACAGCCTCCTGGGCACAGTGAACAGAGAGGCCCCACCCACCTGGCCATGCTTTCAAGTGCCCTAAGGCTGGCAGCCACCATGCTGCCCTAGGGAAATATGTCCAGCTAATCTACTATGTTCTCTGTAGTCTTTGTGGCCTTGCAGGGATCAAGGTCAGCCTCAGTATCATTTGACGACAGGGGCAGAGGCAGTTGTCAGCTGTGGGTCCCCTGACCGGAGGTCACCCAAGTGTGAGCTGTCCCAGGACCCTTTCAGTGTCCTGGACTCTCAGCCGTGCAGGTTGAGGTGGGATGCCAGTCTGGGTGAATTTGTACCAGGTGTGAGGTGGGCTGGTGCAGGTAGGCAGGAGGGGCTTTGCAGAGTGCTGGGGGCTGGGCCCAGGTGAACTGCACCCCCATGTGTGCGTACATGTGTGCATTATGTGTGTGTTTTTGTGAACGTGTGTGTGTATTGAAGACATTTTGATTTCCCGCCTAAAAGCATTGGCCTGCATCCCCGCAGATGAGAACGTTTTACAAAACCCTGACAATGTCGGCTGCATTCCTGAGTGTTCCCAATGTCCTGAGCCTGTCCACTCCTGTCCAATACCCCGCATGTCTCCTTGGTCTTTGACTTCGGGTGACCCCCCAACCCCCACACCACAGCGCTGACTTCTGAGCTACCGGTGGCCGGTTCTACAACAAGCCCTTCTAATGCTCTAGAGGTTTTTTTTTTTTTAATACTTTAATATTTTTTGTTGTTGAAAATGTAAACAGCAGAAATTATACCAATTCAACAACTTGTACGTGTACAATTCAGTGACATTGATTATATTCTTTGAGTTGTGCAACCATTCTCACCCTCCTTTTTTTTTTTATTGTACTTTAGATGAAGGTTTACAGAACAAATAGTTTCTCATTCAATGGTCATTACACATATTGTTTTATGACATTGGTTAACAAACCCACGACATGTCAACACTGTCCCTTCTCAACCTTGGGTTCCCTATCACCAGCTTTCCTGTCCCCACCTGCCTTCTAGTCCTTGTCCCTGGATTGCTGTGCCTCATTAGTCCCATTTTGTTTTATGAGGCTGTCCAGTCCCCGGCTGAATGGTGAACTTCGGGAGTGACTTCATCACTGAGCTAAAAGGGTGTCCAGGGGCCATACTCTCGGGATTTCTCCAGTCTGTCGGGCCAGTAAATCTGGTCTTTTTTTTGTGAGTTAGAATTTTGTTCTACATCCTTTTGCAGCTCTGTCCAGGACCCTCTATTGTGATCCTGGTCAGAGCAGCCAGTGGTGGTAGCTGAGCACCATCCAGCTGTACTGGACTCAGTCTGGTGGAGGCCTTGGTAGCTGTGGTTCATTAGTCCTTCGGACTAATTTTTTCCTTGTATCTTGTTCTCTTCATTCTCCCTCGCTCCCAAAGGGGTGAGATCAGTGGAGTATCTTAGACGGCTGCTCACGGGCTTTTAAGACCCCAGATGCTACTCACCAGGGTAGAATGTAGAACATTGTCTTTATAAATTGTGTTATGCCAATTGAGCTAGATGTTCCCTGAGATCATGGTCCCCATAGCCCTCCGCCCAGCAATTCAGTTCCTCAGGGAGTTTGGAAATATCTATGGAGCTTCCATGACCTTTCCTTGTACAAGTTGTGCTGGCTTCCCCAGGATTGTGTACTGCCTTACCCTTCACCAAAGTTATCACTTATCTATTGTCTGTTTAGTACCCCCCACCCCCACCCCCCCATCCTTCGTAACCAACAAAGATTGTTTCTTTTTTGTGTGTAAACTTTTACATGAGTTTTTACAGTAGAGGTCTCGTACAATATTTGTCCTTTTTGTGATTGACTTATTTCACTCAGCATAATGTCTTCCAGTTTCATCCATGTTATGAGATGCTTCACAGATTCATCATTGTTCTTTATCTTTGCGTAATACTCCAGCGTGCATACGTACCATAGTTTGTTTATTCATTCATCTATTGATGGGCCTCTAGGTTGTTTCCATCTTTTTGCTATTGTAAACAGTGCTGCAATGAATATGGGTGTGCATGTGTCTGTTCGTGTGACGGCTCTTATTTCTCTAGGATATATTCCTAGGAGTGGGATTGCATTTTGTAGTTTTTTTTGTTTTGTTTTGTTTGTTTGTTTTTTGTGGTGCTGACGTTTTCTTTGTTCCTCTTACTCTCCTGTGCTGAGTTCCTTTTGTTTGTGGATTTTTTTTTTCATTTATTTTGTTTTTACTGAGACTTTATGTTTTTCTTCTTTATTTTGATGAGTAGGTTTGTTAACTTTCTTTGTGGTTACCTTGAAATTTACCCTTGTCTTCCTAGATTTGAACCGGTCTATTATTACTTGGTATCACCTTGCTTTCGTCTCCGTTAGAAGGTTCTATACCTACATCGTTTATTCCCTCTTTTATTGTTCTGATGCTATTCTCATTTACAGATTAACTTCTTTGGTTCTCTGTTGTAATTCTTTTGGTTTTGCATAGTCCTTAAGAGTTCATCTCCTAGGTTGGTATCTGGCTAGTACAATCCTGTGTCCTGTATTCAGCCTTTGGTCTGATGTTGTTTGTTCTCAGATCAAAGGACTCCCTTTAATAAGTCTTGTAAGTTTGGTTTGGTTTTTATATAATCCCTTAATTTCTGTTTATCTGGAAATTATCTAATTTCACCATCATACTTGAATGAGAGTTTTGCAGGATATATTATTTTTGGCTGGCAATTGTTTTCTTTCAAGGTTTTACATATGTCATCCCATTGCCCTCTTGCCTGCATGGTTTCTGCCGAATAATCTGAGCTTAGTCTTATTGTTTCTCTTCTGTATGTGACTTTTTGTTTTTCTCGAGCTGCTCAGGATTCTTTGTCTTTGGTTTTAGCAAGTGTGATTATGATATGCCTTGGTGATTTCCTTTTGGTGTCTATCCTATATGGAGTTCATCGAGCTTCTTGGATGGTCAGCTTTTCATCTTTCATGATATTGGGGAAGTTTTCTGTTAGCAATTCTTCAATGATCCTCTCTGTCTTCTGTTTTCTCCCCGTTCTGGAACTCCAATCATTCGCAGATTTTTGCTTTTGATAGTATTCCACGTAATTCTCAGGGTTTATTCATTCTTTTTTCTGATTTTTCCTCAAACAGAGTTGTATCCAAGTGTTTGTGTTCAGTTTCGCTGATCCTATCTTCCATTGTTTCAAACTTGCTCCTCAGCCCTTCTGTGACACTGTCCGTTTCTGAAACCTTGTTGTTTATCTTTTGGATTTCTAATTGTTTTTGTATGATTTCTAGTTGTGAATTTATTTTAGCATTTTGTTCCTGTATTATTTTATTGAATTCTTCTGTTTTTTTTTGTCTGTATTTTCCATGAATTTGTCTGCCTTTTCCATGAATTTGTCTATTTTTTCCTCATTTCTGTCTGCTTGTTGCTTCAATTCTTGGATAATTCTAAATATTAGAGATTTGAATTCCCTATCAGTTAGGTCTAGTGCCTTTTTTTCTACTGGAAGGTCATCTGGTGTTTTATTTTAGATGCCTACTGGAACCATCCTGTACTGGTTTTGTAAATGTTTTGATATTGTTTGCTATTTTCCGGGCATTTAGTGGTTATTTTCCTCATTTATTGGTTGTAGATTTGTTTGTTTCGTCCTGCTTTTTTGTTTTATTTGGTTATGTCTGAGCAGGTGGGCTGTGTGTTCTTTGTTGTTTGCTCATCTGTGGGCACGATACTTTTCACCTCCTCCAATGGGCAGGGTCAGTCACTCAGGTATGGTACAGCAGGGCAGGTCCAGCTGAAGGGGAGTTGCTGGGATGGGTTGTTTGTGGCACGTACCAGGGCTGACATTGCGGAACGGGAATCAGTGCAGGGCAGGTTCCAGTAGGCTGTGCCTGTGCTGCTTGGGAGTGTGATGTTCAGCACACGGTGCAGGTAGGAAGGAAGGAAGAGATTGTGATGTGTGGAGCTAAGATGGGTATGGGATAAATGAGAGAGGAACAGGAGCCAAAAACATACATAAACAAAAAGGAATGCTAAGGGAGCTTGCTATTGGAGTGGAGAGATGAGAAACTGAGAAATGAGGAAAAACAAAAATAAAAAAAAAGAAAAAGGGTAAAAGAAAAAAAATGAATACATTGAGGAACTGGAAATGAAGGACAAAAAGGGAATAAGAGAGAGAAGAAAACAAAACAAAGAAACAAAAAACAAGAAAAAAGAAATGCCTCCAGGTATGTCCTTGTGCGTCTGCACAGAGTAAGGGAGTAGCTTCCAAGCTGTGTGGTACTGCCCGGCTAGAAGGGGCTCCTAAGCCAAGAAAAGAAAAAGAAAACAAACCAATCAAAACAGAACAAATCAGAGCAAACAAACAAAAAAGCCCCGGCGGTCCCACCAGTGTGGCGGCACGGGCCGGGAAGCAGTTTCACAGTCAAGTGGTGTTTCGCAGCCTTTCAGGAAGAAGCAAACATGGCGCATGGAGCCAGGTATTTGAGAGAAAGGAGGGGGAGGTGGTGAGAGGTAAGGAAGAAATCTAAAGAAGCGGAAAAAGTAACACCAGCAGCCAACAAAAGGCACTCAGGGAACCGGCCAGTGCAGGCGGGTGGAATCCAAGCGATATGGGGTGAAGCTGGTGCTTCCCAGCCAAGAGACTGTGGTTGCAGGAAGCAGAGGAGGCTAAGTCGGGGTGAAGAAGGGTGGGGGGTGGGAAAGCCAGTATTGCTGGTTACCAGTTTGTTCTGTCTCCTGCTGGAAGCTCTGTGAAGCTGCTTTCTCGTACCCCCGTTTGCTGAACTCTGATAAGAGTCCAAGATGGTGGATCCGTGCTGCAGTAGCTGATAGGGGACCTCTGCATGTATCTCTCCTCACTCCCTGTTCTTGGTCAGTTTCTTATTCCGTTCAGTGCTTGGCGGAGTTCTTTATCTCTTCATCTGATGCTTAGGTTTTCAGGATTGACGTGTGACTGTTTGACTTAGTTTTTCTGATCTTTGCTGCAGATGGACGGCATGGTGTCTCTGACTATAGCGCCATGTTGCCTGGAAGTCCTCACTCTCCTTTTCTGAATTATGCTTCCCCCAGTAACATTAACTCACAGCCCTCTAAGACTACTATCTAATCTTTCACGTTGCTGTTGTCAGTTTGATCCCATATAGATGCTTCTTAAAAGGGACCAGTGGTTAAGGCAGACATTCTTTACTAGTTAACCTAAATTATGGTATTAACAGTATGTATTTGGTTTAATGTTTAAAGATGATCTCTGGGCAATAATTTTGAGGGTTCATCCCCCTTCCAGTTTCATAAGTTTTTCTTTAAAGATACAGTTTTGTTTATTTGGTGCCCTGGTGGTGCAATCGTTAAGTGTTCAGCTGCTAACCAAAAGGTCAGCAGTTCAATTCCATCAGCCTCTCCTTGGAAACCCTGTGGGGCAGTTCTACTCTGTCCTATAGGGTCGCTATGAGTTGGAATTGGCGCGATGGCAGCGGGTTTGGGTTTGGTTTGTTTATTTAAGACTGTAAAAAAATGGTACAACGGCATTGTCAGACCTCCTTGTCTAACTTCACAAGGGGGAGGAGAAAGAATCAAGATCAACATCAGTCCAAAGCTGATTACTATGAGGTGGAGGTCAGACATACCTTCTCTCTCCAGCCTTTTTACCAATTCTGACTCTAGCTGTTCCTCCCACAGCACTCTCTACTTCTCTGCTGGGTTTGTTAATTTGTTGCAATGGCCACACGGAACTCAGAGACTATACTCACAGTTACAGGGTTTATCAGGGAAGTAACAGGTTACAAGGGAGCTCTGGTGGTGCAGTGGTTAAGTGCTCGGCTGCTAACCAAAAGATCAGTGGTTCAAACCCACCAGCCACTCTGTGGGAGAAAGATATGCTTCCATAAATATTTACAGCCTTGGAAACCCTATGGGGCAGTTCTGTTCTGTCCTGTAGGGTCTCTATGAGTCGGAATTGACTCGATGGCAACAGGTTTGGTTTTTTAACAGGTTACAACTCTGGTTCAGGACCAGGAAGCACATAGGCAAAATCTCCCTTCTTCAGTGCAGGACAACTCTCTCAGCTAGTCTCGGCTATGCAGGGCTCCTCTTGGCCCCCTCTAGCCTCTGCCCGGCTCGGGCAAGTGTTAACAAAGCTCTTTATCTGCACCAATAAGTGCCCAGAGGCACCCAACTCTGCCAGGAAGCCTTCTACCTGAAAGTACTCAGCTCTCTCTTGATTTGAGGGTCAGTAAGCCTAACTCTGCTGACAAGTGCTGGAGGCACCCTGCTCTGCCAGCAGGCCTCCTGCTTGAAGGTGCTCAGTTCAGCATACGCACTGTATGTAGCCACTTCGCTCCCTGGGCTGGGAAGCCTGCTGTGCCGTCTTCTGCCAGTCTCCTGGTTCTGTTGCTGCTGTTTCTCTGCCACCCTTGCTGCTACTTCTCGCCATCTTGTGCCTTCTGCAGTGTTACAGCTCTGTGTCCTGGGTCTAGGAGGTTCTCAGTGCAGGGACCCCAGGTCCAAAGGACACTTTCCACTCCCAACTCTCCTTTCTTGATGGTAGTGAAGTCCCCCCTTTCTGCCTCTGGGATGGCTCATTTTAAGCCTAGCGAGATGGCATACTGACCAATCCCCTCGTTAGGGTTCCATGCACGTTCTTTTCATGGTCCCACCCCACAGGGTGCCATGCAGCTTACTTGCATAGTCCTACCCAGTCATTTGGTGGGAGTTAGAAGACCATGGCAAGAAAGACCGTATAAAAGTGATCCACTGCACTGCAAAATCCCTCTTAGGTCATTCTGGACAATCACCTTATTCAGCCTGTTTCTAGTCCATACCACTATCAGTTGCCGTCCAGTTGATTGGACTTATGGCAACCCCATGTGTGTCAGACTAGAACTGCTCCATAGGGTTTTTTTTGTTGTTGTTATTATTCATGGAAGAGGGTTTTGAGTGAAATGTGTCAAAAGAGAAAGGACCGTGTTCTGGTCCCTTTCTCATGCCTGCCTGATGCTGAGGCTATGGCTCCCCACGTTCTGGAGGGCAGTGTTTCGTGTGGGCTCTCAAAGCTGTGCAATTTGAGCTCTTCCCAGCTTGCCAGTGTCTCTGACAAGGGCAGAGCCTCTGTGTTCCTCCCTGGGGACTGCTGTGCCTGGGCCCCTGCTGCTGTCCCCTCCTCACCAATGCCCTCCTACCCACAGCCTCCTGCTCTTTGTGGATGAGGCAGACGCCTTCCTCAGGAAGCGGGCAACTGTGAGTACTCCTAGGCCTCTGTCTGGCCTCAGGGGGTGGCTGGGTAGCAGTTGGCAGTCGAGCAGAGCGTTAAGCAATCCACAGGCCCCGCCATCTCTTGTGGCAGCTGGGCAAGCCGAGGCGGAAGCACTGAGCCCTGCGAGTTAGAGCTGGGCCTGCCGGCGCCTCCCGTGCACGTTGGTTAACTTGTGCACAGGCTGCCATGGAGCTGCTCCCCAGCTGCTGCTTTGTAAATTTACTTTGGCAAACAGAAGTTCCATTAGAGGCGTTTTTAGAGTCTGCCTAAAGTTAGGTTTAGGCTTCTAATTTTAGACTTGCAAAAACATCATGTGACCTTGCTCACTATGCCTTTGCTGAAGCTGAAGAGGTAGAGCCTGTGGCCTTTTTTGGCCCCCCTTTGGTGCCCACATCCCACTGTTCAAGCTCCACCCTGCAGCCTCCCAGCGCAGCCTCCTGACTAACGCTGGAACGTTGTCTCTGCAGGAGAAGATCAGCGAGGACCTGAGGGCCACCCTGAATGCGTTCCTGCACAGGACTGGTCAGCACAGCAGCAAGTAAGGGCACCATACCCCACCACATCGACCCCGCACCTCCATTAGAGGACACTGAGGCTGAGGAGTGCCAGGTGGGGAAGGACCTAGCCGGGGTCTTGCTAGGCAGCATGATGGTGTTTGGAAACACACCGGGCCCAGGGACCCTCGCACGCTCTCTTCTCCTGGGCTCTTTTAGCCCCTGTGGGGCCCCTATGCTGGCCCACTCAGAGCAGCTGCAGTGCCGCCAGCTGATTGTCTGCCCTTTCACAGGTTCATGCTGGTCCTGGCTAGCAATCAGCCTGAGCAGTTTGACTGGGCCATCAACGACCGTATTGACGAGATGGTGAATTTTACCCTGCCGCAGCTTGAGGAGCGGGAGCGCCTGGTGAGGCTGTACTTCGACAAGCACATCCTCAAGCCAGCCACGGAGGGGAAGCAGTGAGTCTGCGCCACTCGCCCAGCCTCTGGTCTCTCCCGTCTGTTCCTCCAGGCACTGTCTCCTGCTTGTCCTCGGTGGACACTGTCCCCCAGACCACCTTCTACAGCCCTTCCACCTGGGGTGTTCGTGCCTGCTCCTGGTGCGCTATGGTCTTACACAGGAGTTTCTCCGTGTGTGCACTTGTGCTTGGTGCTTCTTGGCAGAGGGTCCCTGTCACTCCCCCGTCTCCCATTTCCCCTGCTCAAGCCCCAGGTGGGGGGTCCCATACCTGCTTCTCACCCAAGAACAGACTGGCAGGTATCTCCTGGACATCATTTTGTACAAACATGCATCTTGAACTGTTTCTGTTATAGGAGGTACCTGGACAATCTTGGGGGATTTCAGGAACATGTTAGGCTTCATGCTAAGCAGTTGGGGAGCAGCCCAGGAAGGCTGTGGGCGGTACCAGGTGCAAGGCTAGCCGCCAGGCGTTCATGGGACTCATGGGGGCCCCAGGTTGGCTATGAAAGGTGGGCTTTTGCCCTTGCCCTTGCTAGATGGGTGGCTTGACCAGCTGCAGCCAGCACACACCCACACCCTGAGCTCTGTGTAGTCCCGGCCACGTGGCCTTGGAAGAGCCATGGCAAGGCCATGCCTCTGCCACCTGTGCACTCCCAGGCCCTTCCTGCTGCCCCGCACAGACCCCTGCACAGCGAGGGGCACGAGCAGTGGAGGACACAGCACACCAGTGGGGCAGCGGCCTGGGTTGACCAGTGCTACTGGTGCCCGCTGTAGCCAAGGCCCTCTGAGATGCCATCCAGTCCGCCCCATAGCCCACACTGCATCTGGAACGCCCCAGATCAGCACACGGTCTATTTCTGAGCATCCCTCGGGAAGAAGGCCTCAGTTTGCAGAGCAAGCAGGTCTTGCAGGCCCTGACCCAGATCCCTCCGGCCGTCTTTCTGCCACCATGTCACTTCATAGAGCAGAAGCTCTTTCCTGTCTTTTGGGTCTGCCCTTGTCTGGCTTCTGTGCTGCTTCTCTCCATGGAGCTCCCTCACCTGGGCCTCGTTCCCCACCTCCGTCTCAACTCCCAAGAGCACCTGGTGCTGATCAGTCTCTGTAGTTCCTGCTGCAGCCTAAGTACTGTTTTCTCAGCTCTTTCTCCTTGGCCTTCAGTAACTGTGTTCTAGAACTCCAGGCAGCTTGGGAAGGAATTCCTAGTGCATGTTAAGTGAGGAATAGTAATTTTTTTCAGTTCACAACTGTTACTTTTGTTCAATTTCCTGCTTGTTACATAGCATTTAATCACTGGAAGGAAGGTTCTAGGCATGGAGGTGGGGCTGGGCTGGGGATTCAGGCAGCGGCATACCCAGCCTAAGGAGCCCTTGTTCTGTGGGGATGGGCAGCAGTGCTATGGGTCCATTTCTCAGAGTAAGGCCAGAGGCCCTGAACAGCCTGCAGGCCACCCTAGGGACATCACCCGCCACGTCCTTGCCTGGGCCCCACCCAGGCCACAGGCAGGAGGGTGGTGTCCAGTGGGTTAGGATGAAGGGCACCAACAGTGGATACCAGTGTGGGGCTGGGCCGCTGGGAGCCCCCAGCTCCGAGGGGAGTGTGTTCCCAGCCTGGAGATGCCCTGCCTGCCCAGCCCTCGGTGAGCCTCTGGGTGCACCCATGCCACCCACAGCCAACTTGGGAACTCTTCTCCCCAGGCGCCTGAAGCTGGCCCAGTTTGACTACAGCAGGAAGTGCTCAGAGATTGCCCAGCTGACAGAAGGCATGTCGGGCCGGGAGATTGCCCAACTGGCCGTGGCCTGGCAGGTGAGGTGGGCCATTGGGTTTGCCGAGGCTCATGCTGCTGGCTGGGAGTGGCCCACGGGCTGGCCTGGGTGTTTTGTGTAAGGGTTTCTGTACTGTCCAGGGCAGGGATGTGTGCCTCCTTGTGGCTGCACACAGACGTACATGGCTACCCTTTCCCCATGGGCACCTGGTGAGTGCTGTTCACACTGTCATGGGAGTTGGGGGAGATAGATCTTGGGACCCAACCACATCAAATGGAGCTCTCTGGGAAGTGAGTGGGTCTTAGAACCACAGTCCAAGTGGCCGGCCCCACACCGAATGTCCCAGGGCAGGCAGGGTGGGGGACTCTGTACACATCTGGGGTGAGGGAGAACCAGCCCTGGTCCAGTGGGAGCCTGATCGTCAGCATGTGTCCCGTGTCCACAGTCGTGGATGGGAGCAGGATCTGGAAAACAGCTCAGCACTGCTGAGAGCACTGGGCTGGCAGAGGTCCTCTCCAGGTGTGGCCAAGGCCATCGCTGTCCTGGCTGTCAGAGCTCTGTTAAACCCTCCTGCTGTGCAGCCTTTGGGGAGTCTCAAGGGGGTTGGGCGGGCCTCCTGGATATGTGGCTCCAGGCATACTGGGCAAGCACGGCTTCTTCTCCCCAACTCCTTGTCCTTCCGAGACTGACCAGCAGCAGCTCCCCGGACTGCCCTGGGCAGGGAGTCAGTGACCCCAAGGAGCATTGCGTGGGCCATCCAGGATGCCCGGGCTCTTGGGGGGCTGCCAGGAGAGAGACCAAGTGCATGGTGTCACTGATGCTAGTGACTCATGGGTGCAGCCTGTCCTTGGGCTCTGCCAGTGCTGCCACCGCCAGGAGCTTGCTGTTCATCTCTCATGTCATGTGAACACCCAGCCACTTAACATGCTTTGAAGTGAATGAGTATTTTATGAACTACATTGTCATCTATGCTGATTTGAATCTCCGTAGCCTAAACATACAGGAGACTACTAGACAGCATGAGTTGGGTTACACTGCTGTTAACAAACAGCCCCCAAATCTCGACCCCATCCCCACTCTGGACCCAGTTGAGGGGGGTTCCGTTGCTTTCCATACCTGATAAAGCAAGTGACGTGTGGAGCTAGAGGTACTTGGGGACAGCACTGGGGATGTGTGCAAATGTAGAGGTTCCTGTTCAGACCCCGGGATGTGCGGGGCAGCGAGTGTGGGGTTCAAGGCCTGCTGCAGCAGATGAAGAATCCCCCTGGGAAGTGTCAGGTCACAGTATAGCCTGGGACCTTCAATCCTGGGGAAGAGGTCAGGGTCAGAGGGGGGAGCCAAAGGCAGCAGTTTCTACTCCGGTTTCTGAAGAAATGCTGGTCCCTGCTTTTCACTTTTTCCCCTGTGTCTGGCCTCAGGGGCACAGAACTGGGTTGGCTTGGTTGCTTCAGCTCCCCCCAGTAACCACCCCCCTCCCTGGGTGGGGTCCTGTGTAGGTCTTTGAGGCCACCTTGGTAGTGTTGTGGGGACCCTGCCAAGTCAGAGATGCCCACATTGGTCCATGTCGTTAGTTCTGCTGGTTTTAAACTCTTACCTGCTCTGGAGCCTCTGGTTTGTGAATTTACTACCTTTTTTTAAAACAAACTTTGTATTTTTGAGTCATTTTAGGTTCACAAGAAAGTTACAAGGGAGAGTGCAGGGGTCGTCCCCATTGCGGGGGGGAATCCTTCCCAGTGCCCTGTCTTTCCTTGACCCTGACGTCAGAGGCTGCTGGGCGCTTTTCAGTGCAGTGCCCCCAATTTGGGTCTGTGGTGTTTTTCTCTGATGAGCCTGGGGCGGCGGGTTTGGGGAGGAAGACCGCAGGAAGCCGGCAGTTAGGCCCCAACGCTCCGGCTCAGGTGGGACAAAGCATCGATCCTGAGAGGCCGGGGTGCCCCCTCCCCTGCGTTCTGCCTCGGCCTGCTGGGCGGTGGGTGGTCATGGCTGGGGCAGCCTGAGAACTCCGGCTGTGACTCCGCCTGACACGCCCCGCGTCTGGCGGGGGAGGGGTAGGGAGGCCTGTGCCCCCACCCAGCTGTCCCTATACCTCTAACCCCTCGGCCCGCTGGCGGGGGCGTTAGCACCTCCTCTCAGGCTGTGCCTCCTCTGGTCGTGGGGCAGCCCTGTTGTGGGGTGGGAAGGAAGGGGGAGGCAGGGCTGCGGCTCGTTGGTCTGTGTGCCGCCGCTACGCGGGACCGTGGGAGCCGGATCCCAGGGCGTGCGCACTGAGGCCGCGGCTGGGAGGCTATGCGGGGCTGTAGCATGTTGGCCAGCTCAGCGCCTGGGCTTCTAATTTTAGAAAGTCGTTGAGGAAGCGGCGCATGCGCAGGGAGTCCGCGGGCCTAGCGGTTAGGGAGAGGGCCGCTTCCCCCCACCCCAACTCCAGCCGGCCCACGGAGTTCGTCCCGCCCAGGCTCGTGGGTTCTGGAGGGTGTTCTCAACGCAGCATGCCCTGCAGTCTGGCAGTGGAGCAAGTGTCATGAATGGGGGCGACACCCAGGGCAAGGCTGCCTGATGCCGGGAGGACGCTCCCCAGCCCAGCCCTTCAACCTCGGCTTCCTGCAGGCTATGGCATATGCGTCAGAAGACGGGGTCCTCACCGAGGCTATGGTGGACACGCGTGTCAAGGACGCCATCCAGCAGCACCAGCAGAAGATGCAGTGGCTGCGCGCAGACGGCTCAGCAGACAGCGAGCCCCAGCTCTCCTGATGCCCCTGCTGGTGGCCGGCAGATGGACACTGTCGTGCTGAAGCATACCAGGAGGAGCACTGAGTTCACGGCCCCCCAGGCATTTTTAACCTTCCTTCGGTCAGGCCAGGGCCACATCAACGGCCTCTGGGTGCAGGACTAGCCACTGGTGTCATGTCTCTGTGGGGTTCCCAGAGCAGAGTCTCAGGCCTGGGTCAGGGCCTCCCTCCTGGAAAGCCTCCCAATGTCTTGGGAGGTGTGAGTCTCCAAGCTAGGACTCTGTCCCACCCCTACCAGCCTCACCCAGGGCAGGTTGAAGGCATGGCGCCTACCATGCCTGCAGAGATCACGGGGTGGGGGGGAGTGCTGCTGCTAGGCCACCAAGGCTTCACCTTGCAGAGAGCAGAGGCCTGACTGGAGCTGGCCATCTGTGCCAGGCCCCTGGGGATTGGCTTGCTTGGTGTCCCACAGGACCAGGCCTTGGGCCCCATTTGGGCTTTGGTGCAGCAGTGACAGTGGCTCCTGGTGCTACGGAGTCATGTGGTACCCGCAGGCTCACTTGGTGCTGGTCCCACCCGAGTAGGCTTGGAGTGGCCATGGCTCAGGAGCTGTCAGCTGCCAGGTGGGGCAGCAGAACCCACCCTCTCATGACTGGAGTTGTGGTCTCTCCCTCGAGAATTTAATAAAAAGTCTGAACCAAGGTCTCAGCCTCTGCATCCATGACTGATGCAAGGAGTGGGATTTGGGGGCCTTCTGCCCATAGACCCTCTGCAGCCCCATGAGGTCAGAGGTGAAAGAAGAGGCTGAGGCTGGAACTTTCTGGATGATTTACTGACTGCAGCTGGGGTCGACATCACAGTGAGGTGCCCCCCAGGGGGCCTGGGCGGGGGGCTGCTCGTGCAGTAGGTGGGCTCAGGCCTTATTGCTGCTGGGCTGGGTGTGGCCCAGCCTGAGACCCCCAGCTCCCGAACTTGAGGACACGCACGTGCCCCATGCACATGCTCCGGTGTGCAGACAGTGTGGGCGCTGGGCACTCCAGACCCTCCCCTGTGGGCCCCAGCCTCAATCCCCTCCGCCAAGACTGGCTGTGGCTTGCGGAAAGACAAACAGACCCAGGGTGGACAGACAGACTAACACGATACACAGGAAACACAGACACAGGCCGGTTTTATATAACACATGATCCCAGACCAGGTGTAGACAGGACCCCAGGCAAGTGGCTCTGACCATCAGTCCAGGTGACCAGCTGGGCTCCCCCCACCCCCCACCCCCACTTGGGACCCTCCCCAGCCCCCAGCACCTTTGGGGCAGTTGCATGACCCTGCGTGCCCCCTGGTCTGCCCTTGCGTCCTGCCCAGCTGGGAGGCTGGGGTCCTGCCTCCAGACCCAGCAGCCTACCTCACCGGCCCCCACCCTAAACCCCCTTTATAAAAAGAAAAGGACTCAGCACCTTCTGCTGGAGACGCCCGGCCGCCTGAGGCCGGCCACCGTGGCCTGAGGCTGCCATCCAGTCCTGCTGGGCCACGGCACCACAAAGGTCCTTGTTACATCTGTACAGTGGCCAGCAGCTGGGCGTGCCCTGAGGAGTCCTGCAGGCGGCTCAGAGGTGCCGTGGGCTGGGGTGGCCATTGTGATAAAGTTTCTGCTTCACGTGCACCATGTTCCCTGCGGCCTCCTCAAAGGGCCTGTGTGGCCGCCGGCCCAGCTCCCGCAGGCTGCAGAACTTGGGCAGCCAGGTCCACGAGCCGTCTGTGGGGACAGGGTGTGGTCAGGGCGGGGGCCAGAGTGGCCTAATGGCCAAGCAGGGATGGGGTGGGGGCTGGGGGGAGCTGGACATGTGTGTGAGACTGGATGGCTGGGTGTGGGACAGGGAGGTCAGGGGAGCTGAGTGGTTGGGCAGGGAGGGATGGGGGGGTGGCATGTGTGGGCTCTGGAAGGGGCTGAAATAATCATCAAATGGGCTAGGTGGCCTGGGGACCAGGCAGGGATGGGGCAGGGTGGGTGAGGTGGGAGGGAAGGCAGGACATGGGGCAGGTGGCATGTGCAGGCCTGGGCAGAGGCTACGGTGGTACATGTGGGGCCAGTCCTTGGCACTCACCGTAGCGCCGGCCGGCCCTCCAGGCGCGCACAGCGCAGTGCAGGACACCGTCCACCCACACGAGGAACCAGCTGATACAGAAGCCGAGCAGCAGCCCGAGCATGAGGTCAATCTCCTGCTTGGTCACATTGTCCGTCACAAAGTAGTTTTCCGCGGCATCCACCACCGACTGGTCCCCGTCGTACGGGATCACGTAGTGGACGTGGTGCCTGGGGGCGGCAGGTGGGCTGGCACCTCTCCTGCCCCCCGCCAGCTCCCGAGGGGCCACGTCTGCTGTGGGTTGGGACACTCCACCTTGGCCTGCCCTGTACTGCATCCCAGGGCCCCTTCCATGCCCGAGGCTAGCAGTGGTGGGCAGCTGGGCCCTGGTAAGCCAGGCACCCAAGAGGGTAGGCCCCAGCTCGGCCGCTCAGCCGTGGGCCCTGGCCCCTCTTCTAGAAGATAGACGGGTGACGCTCACCCAGGGTGACCTGGCTGGTCCCTTCCTTCTTGCTCTCTGTCTCCTGGCATCAGTCTTGGCCTTGGCCACCTGCTGACCTGGGCCCTGGGCAAGTCCGGTGGCAGCCTTCCTGTCTTCACTTTCCCACAGGCCCCCAGAGCCCCAAGCCTGATCTCTCCTGGGCCCCTGCCCTCCCGCTCAGTCCTCCCGCTCAATCCTGGCCAGATGTTGCCTCCTCCAGAAAGCCCTTTGGGCCCTCCCGCCCACTCGCCAGTGCGGGCAATGGGGCTGGGCACTCGAGGTGTTCACTTCTGCTGCACTCTTGGCCCGACCACCCCACCCTCTGGTACGCCTCCTCCCGCTGACCCCTCCACTGGCTGCTCCTCCTGACTGAGAGGTCCTCTCCCCTCCCCTGCCCTTCGCCCACCCACGGTCCGATCCACCCAAGCCCCCACCCCCATGCCCGCCTCTGCCTGAGCTCTACTGCCATCTCCACGTGGGGGTTCACAGACAACTCAAGCTCATGCCTAAAAATAGCTCCTCCCTCCGAAACCTGCTTCTCTGGAATCTTCCCAGTTAAATGACGGTTCCCCGCCGGCCTCAAGCAAGACCCTCCTGTGGTGCTGAGTCCTCCTCCTTCTCCTCCCCTAAAGCTCACCTTGACCAGGTGAGGCCTCCAGGTGAGGCCCAGAGGCATCTGTTCAAGGACTCCCCGACCCTGGGCCCTGCTGCCTCTTTCGCTAATGTCCTTGCGCCCGGCGGGGACCCTGCAGGTGCCCCCTCCCACTGAAGACGGGGGATGTGCAAGCCCCAGGCCCAGTCCAGTGAGGATGGGGTGGCTGTAGGCCCAGGCCTGCGGGGTCTAGAGAGGAGGCCACTTGCCACCAGCAGGCCCGGGGAGCAGACCAGAACCCTGGCCGCCGGGCCCTGGTCTCCAGCCTCCTGTTCTTGCTGGGACCCTGGGAGGCCAACCACTTAGCATGTCTGGGAGGGTGGTGGCCAGGTATGTGGGTGGTGGCCACCACAGCCCCTGAGCAGGGCTTGAAGCACCACCTAGGCAGAGGAGCCAGTACTGGCTATCGGCAATGGTGACTTCTGCAGCCACGCTCACCTGACCACCAGCTGGTCAATGGATCTTCAGTCATCAATAATTGGTGGAAAACTACTGACCACGCTCAGGTCGTGTGACCCACCTGGCTCCTCAGCACCAAGTCCTGAGGCGGGAGGCTGAGAGCCAGCAGCCAAGTGTCACCGTCATTTCCTGCCTCCTAGCCTTCTCTGCCGGGACCCCTGCAAGGCCTTCCTTGGGGTTCCTGCATCCTGCCCAACACGTGGCTGGCTTGGCGGGCAACTTGAAAATCAAGGCACCGAGAAAATCAGAAACCGCCTCCCTCGCCCTGCAAGGACAGTGATGCCACCCACAGTGGTTCAGGACCTCCAGGGAGTCAGAAGTCATGACCTGTGCCTCTACCACGGCCGGCACCTGCAGCTCACCTCCACCCCCTTCTTCCTCCACATCAGGCCCCTGCAGGCAGAGGCTCAGGTCCCAGATGGAAGCAAGACGAGTCAGCCTTGGCAGAGTGCTTCCTGCACACGTATGTCTGGGCCGTGTACATACGTGTAGTCTGCCTGTGCTACACATGCTGTATGTGTCTACCAGAGGCCCAACGCCATCTCATACACACGTCTGCCACATGCACAGGACATCATGCACTGTGCACACCTGCTGCAGACACGAGCATGGTGTGTGCCACACGGGCACACACGGACTGTGTGGATGCAGCCATCATTCCCACACAGCCCCAGCCACATGCATGTGTTCACACGTACAGGTACTGCCTGTTCACACATGGACTTTGTAGCACTGATTTGCACACGTGGCCTTGTGTAAACTTCTATGTACAGGCCTGTACAAGCATACACACGTACACACTCACTCTGCACACAGTGTGTACACACACAGATGGAGTCCATCGTGGTACTGCGTGGCACGGCTTCTCCACAGATCCCCATGGACAAAGCTGTACGGTGCGCACACATCCACTGCACCCACGTGGCTGCATATCAGCATGGCTGGGGCGTGTGTTCTGCTGTATATTGGGTTATATACATGTACTTTGCATACACATATATGTTATCAATATACAATAGTACTTGGAACACAGAATTGACATGGTCTGTATGTAGAGATGTGCACAAAGCATATACATGTACACACACGCACGTAGGAACATTACTCCAGTCTGTCGCGTGGTGTGGCTTTCCACGCTTTCTGCGTGCACAGACCTTAATCTGCACACATGCACACCCCTCACCTACATTTGCCCTCTGCACAGGCCCCTGTTGTACATGAACCCACACATACTCTGAGTACTAGAGTAGTGCGTGTACACATCCCATGCCAGCACCCCCTAAGAATACACTTGTCTGCACGGACAGGCCCTGGAGGATGTGCGCCAGCGTGTGTTCACAGGCAGGGACTTGCTCCTCACATTACACGGCCACAAAGGAGATTCCGCACACATCGGGATGCGTGTTGCGTGTGCTGATGGAACTGAGCCTGGGCTGGGCACCCTGCATGCGGAGAGCCTCCTGGGAGCGTTTGGGTTGACCCTAGTTTACACCCCACCCCAGTAGCGGCCCCAGGAGGCTGTGGAGCTGACACCTCGCCGTCCCTTCACTGTTGGACAAGCCGTGCAAACTGTGTGCCCGGCAGGAACCTGGGCTCTGTGAGAGTGTGACCACTCAACCACTTCCTCTTGGGGTTCTGGGTCTCCCCAGCTCCCTTGCCCAGCACCCCTTCTGCACCTGCTCTCAGACCCATGTCTTGTACCAACACACCTGTCCACCCATGGGCGTGTAGCACGGTGAGCAGGCATGCACTGTCCTTATCCCCCTCCGCCCAGTTCCTGTGTACAGTCTTTCGCCCCCACCCCCACCCCGTCTGTGTGACCTTGGGCAGGTCTCTGTCCCCTGAGGCCTCCGTCCGTGTTCGCGTGTATCAGGGGATGACAGTGGTCGCCGTGTGGGAGCGTGGGCGTGCGGCCTGCGTGCGCGTGTGCTGTGTGGACGCACATGTATATGCACAGACGGTACACACATGCGCGTCTGGTGAGAAGATGTTTATTTCGTACACGGACGTACAAACATGCATGGCTGAGAGAACCCGTCACCACACGAGCACAGGATCGGGCCTCCCCCACTCTCCAGTGACCTTGAGCAAGCTCCACCCCTGCCTCAGTTTCCTCCTCTGTACAGTGAGGGAGTCTGGCCCTTCCCACCTTGACCTTCTGCACTTCCCAGCACCTGGGCTCACAGAAGTCCGTGTGCACAGCGTACATAGGGCCCAGGGAGACGCGAGGCGTGCGGGCGGCGTGCATTGCCTGTGCGCAGGCCCTGACGCCGGGCCAGGCCAGTTGGGCCCATCGCCGCCCGCACGGGCCGCTCTTTCTCTAACGGTACTGGGGGGCTGCTCCGACCGGGAATTTTGGCTCCGCCCGCAGCTGATTCCGGCGGCCCCTCCCGGCACCAGCTCGGCCGGCCGACCCTCCCCATCCGCACCTGGGCCCCGGGCCCGCGCCTCTCC